AAATGATCAAGAGAGGTTACTTGAGGTTTAGTATGCAGATTAGCAAGCAGGGCAGACGGAGGTCGGTATAGCTCCCAGCATAGTTTCAACGATCAAGATCTGATGAACCTTGATGGCTCCTTTTACAGTTAGGTAACACTGGATTCCATATACTGTGATATAAATATTAAAAAAATCAGACGTATTCAATATTTTCTTGTAATATATCAGCATCTTGTATAGAGTTGGCTAACCATGACACCTGGTGCCTGTGCTCTATGTTTCATTTTTGCTAGCATTAAAATACGAGTTTAAATTTACTATGATGGTAATTTTATGTATTTTATTGTTTTAAAAAGCTGAGCCTGCAACAATATATGAAAACTATAAATCTATACAGAATGAATTGCAAGTTTGACAAAGATCTCGCTTACCTTGTGTTGATAACACGCTCTGTTTAACAAGGACTCACATAAAGAAAACAGCCATTCACAGCAATATTTTGCAGCTAACATGCAACTATTTTGTCTTAATTATTTATTCTTGAGGAAAGCTGTGTTATAAGCAATGTACTGAGTCATTAGCATAGCTCGGAGTGTTTCTTCCACTGCAGAGAGTTTTCTTGAAGCACTCAATGTAAGACACGCACATCATGTATATGTTAGCATTTCGATTTTAAGATAAAAGTTAAAAGTACTGTGTTCTATCTGTTTGGTTCTGATGCAGTTAATAGCTCTCTTCAGAAAGCATTTTTTTTTCCTTTCTAATCTCAAAGATTACGATGCAGCTATGTTGGCTTAATCCATCTTTATCAGCTAAAGCTATCATTTATAAAACAGCTCGGGAGCTTACTAAAAGCAATTCTTTTTGTGTTCTGCTTTTTTTTTTGTGATACATCTGCTTGCATATCGAAAATGGAAAGAGGATACACCTGTTTAGGAAACTATAACCAGGCATAAAAGGGATGCTCAGTACATTCCTGCACAATCTGCTTTTTGGTATCAATCGCATTCATTCCAAGTTGTAAAAGGTGAGCAGGAGAAATAATGTGGGTCCACACAAAAAATGCGTGCCAGACAAAAGCAAACTGTAAGTTAAGAGATCTACAAAAAACACAGAAGAGAAAGAAAGTCATATGTTCACATGATTAAATACAGTTCTTCTTATCTAATATTACGAAATGAATGACGGATTCTCACAGTATGTTGGCGCTTGTGCTTCAAATAGGTGAGTGTGTAAGAAAACAGAAAGAAATCCAATGGTGGAGTATAACTTGAAATGTGGTCAAGGTAAATGTGGAAAGTCACTCACATTTACTAGAGCCTTGTGATTAGCTCTGTATTCAAGCATGGGCGGAATATTCCCCGCCTTATGAAGGTGCCTTTCTTAACAGATATAAATCTTCAGCAGAGTTTTATTATGTACAATAAAAGACAAAAGCAATATATAGTGTAGTGTGTATTAAAAAAATTGAAGATGCTTACTAATATCCCCGTTTGGCTCCAGTGAAACAGCATAAAGTATAATTCCCACTGCAGTTACCGTTAATCTGGATTTTCTCAGTGGTATCATGTAAGGCAAAACATAAATATAGTGCCCTTTGTTAAAACTGTGTAGTACAGGATAAAGAAAAAATGTCCTACTTACATATTCTTGAGCCATATGGTATTGCTCAATCCTTATGGCATAGGTGGATATAATCCCCACCAAGGATTTAGGATATGGAGGGCAGTATACAAAAGTAACTTTATGACCATACAAGAACAATATAATTTTAAAATATAATAAAAAGGAATTAAACAAACACTAACGTGTTTCATCTTATTTAAAAAGGCCTTTTCAAAGTGTATTAGTGCTCCTGGTTATTTCCTTCTTTTACAGGTTGTTCAGAATCTCCAATAGGAGATCTATCAAGGCATTTGCGTTGGGCAGCACTTTCAGGAGGACGGCAAAAACAGCCCTGGCAAATGCCTTGCCCGCCCCTTTCCCTGGGAGGCACAGGAGATGGCAGACTGGCCACCTCAGGGCCCCCCCAAGGCTGGCATCCCCTGGTGTAGGCAGGTGGCAAGCTCTTCCAGCTCTGGCATCACTGTGAGACACTCGACGGAGCTGAGATGGGAGATCAGAGCTCCCTCGGCGCCAGCCTCCACTGCTCACCGTGTGACCACTCACCTGTCCGCTGAGCTGCAGGATTTTCCACTGGACCACAGGGAAAAATTCACCAAAATGAAAGCAAAATAAAAAGTTGTGAGTGTGTTAGTGTGTGTTTGTTAGTGAGTGTGTTAGTGTGTCTGTTAGTGAGAGTGTGTATGTGTGTCTGTTAGTGAGAGTGTGTGTGTGTCTACTAGTAAGTTTTAGTGTATGTCTGTAAGTGAGAGTGTGGGCTATAATAACTATTAGAAAAAGTGTAGACTCGACACCAGTAGATCTCTCAAATGAATATCAAACTACTGTTTAAAAGGCTGAAGCACTGGATGAAAATAAGACAAAAAACATATAGTAATCTCACCACTGGCCAGAAATGTCTGGAGAGTGCCTAGAGTATCCTTTTAAGCAATCCAATATAGAACTGAACATGAAAAGCACACTTCTTGTATTCTGCATTTTTTAGAGGTAAAAGCATTTGTAGTCTCGCAAACAGAGTAAAAAGAAAAGGTGCCATCATGGCTTGAAAGAGAATCTCCTTTCAGTCGTGTGGAAAAAAACTCCCATTACAGTGTCTTGCCCTGCTTTATTTTAACCAAAAATCATTTATAATATATATATATATATATATATATATATATATATATATATATATATATATATATATATATGTATGTATACAAAGCCATTTAACTGCCAATCTCTGTTAAAATTGTGCAAAAAAATGTAGTTTGGATTTTTTAATTTTTTTTTAACTATACCCATATAACAATATTTATTTTAATGTGTATTTTATATACCTGATGTGTACTACTCTTATATTAAGCCCCATATTGTGCCCCTTTGTCACTATCCAGTCGAAGCTACAGTGCCATATAAGAGACTTGACTATGCCAGATTTTACCCTTAGAATTTTGATAGATGAATATCATGGGCCCATGTCTCAGTTTAGGGCATGGTAGAAGTTTGAGTGTTCAAATTACCCTACAAAGACCTTCCATTTGTGAAAGTAGACACTCCAGGGTATCTCATATGGTGTATATTTTGCCTTATTGTGGTGCTATTTTTGCCAATGTATGACGTGTGTGAGGTATTTTGCACTTTGTACATGCACATTGCATTTTTACGGGGTATTTTGTAAATCTGATATAAACCACTATAGTCGAACAACACAAACTATGATCAGCAACACTTTTCTGAGTAAAATAATAACCCAGATGTATGCCTTTACCACTATCTGGTGAACTGACCTTCCTATTTTTACAGTTAGAGATTTGATAGATGGGTGTGATGTGCCAATGCCCCAGCTGACAGAGAGAAGCCCTAGGTATCGAGTGATTCCCAGTTACCACCAGGAAAACAATCCATACATAGTTAAGTTGTTATAGTCCCTACGGGAAGGACATTCATGATGGAATAATTCCATCGATCATTGTTAAGGGGTTAATTATATTTTGACTACTGGTAAACGATTTTGAAGTGTGAAAATCAAACTGAAATTTGCGCACTGAATGTTAATCCCTGCAATAATGCCCAGTCAAGGATCCATATTTGGAGCAATTTGGAGCATGTACCCATTGTAATCAAAAAGTAAACAAGTCATTGTCAGGGGTATGTGCTCATCAGTCACTTTGTGGATTGCGTGCAAAAGAGCAGATTAAAATATATGATTTGTAATGTCCTGGTCAATTCTCTGGAATCGCCAGCTGAGTGAATAACTTCCATAGTCGTTACTACTGGAAATATTGGACTTTAAAAAAAAAACAAAAAAAACAATCATAATACAGAATTCTAAAACTAAAGCAATATGAATGGAAATACAGAAAATGCATGCCAATAACTCTATATTTACAACTAATATTGATGAAGCAGTATTTACTTGTGAACTGGAAACAAATTGATACATTTAGGCCAACAACACGTATTTGGACAAATTCTCCAATACTTCAATTTGCTTTAAATCAGCTTCATTGACACAGATTTAGCTATTTAGGTTTCAGATAATCACATTTCGCTCTTTATTGAATAAGTCTCTGTCTTGATATATAACTCCAATATGCCAAGGAAATGTGTGCAACAGATAAGTGAATAATTTACATGAGTAAAAAAAGCTAGAACTAATACATTGAAATTAGCAGCGGAAGTTAATGTTACTGATAAGCTACAGTGGACAGTTTCAGTGGTAAGCATGCTACAAGCACAAAATACTTTTTGTTTTTTAATATTATTATTCCTTTAATTTTTCCTTTTTTTTTCCTGTTTTAGAATTTTGCTTACACCAGCACCTCCTGCAAGCGTTGCAGAGGCCATTACGGGGGGGGGGGGAGGTAAACAAAGCTCTCTGAGCGACTGACAAGCTCAGAGCACCAGCAGCCATTACCCGCTAGCGACTATGAGTGCACTTCCAGCCGCGATGCATCTCCTGTCAGCACAGCCCGGTCGCTCATCTTCACAAGCGATCTGGCGGCTGACAGAAGGGAAGGTGAAGTGAGATCTCGGTCTCCATCGAGATCTTCAGCCTTGAGTCAATTTTGGAGAATGACGACTCAGCCACCACCTTCTCAATTACTAAAGACACATTAACCCACCAGGGAGCGGTACAAAGGAGAAGGTATAGCCCCTCATTTATTAATAATAACAGTGAAAGCAACAATATTATAAACATGACCAACAATACACAGGTTCATGTCTCTGATGCCACATCTATGATGGCTACTACCATTACCACTGCAAATAAAACTACACATAGGCACTTTCTAGATGGACAAAAATAATTGTACATTTCCTCCTTAACAGCTATGGACACTGGAGATACTCCAAATACTATAATTTATTCTGTTCGTATATCTTTTTCTTACAATGTTGCCACATCGAAGATGGCTGCCACTAATTCTAAGGTGGCTGTTATAATTCCATCTGATGCCACAACCAAGATGGCAGCTAATGGAAATGAAAGTGACAGTTTTAATTTTACAAATTCAGCCGCATATAACCCATCTATGCCCCCAGAGTTGGCAGCTGGTCTGCCTGCATTGGCAGAGATGCTCATGAATGCGTTACAGTCTCTAAGAATTAAAATACGCAATGACCACAAGGAAGATATGGATACAATGTTTGGATATGTAGAAGAGTTAGCTATTAAAACTAACATCATAAAGAAAAGGTTATCATTCACATTCGGATTTACAAGGTAATGTGAATCTACTTCAAAAACAATTAAACCAATTAATTGAGAAAACAGCTGACGCTGAAGATAGGAGTCATTGGAATAATTTGTGGATTAGGGGGATCCCTGAGTCCGTGGAGCCTTCGGAATTAAGGAATTACTTTCAGAATGTGCTAAATACAGTCAAGTCGGATATCACAAAGTCAGAATTTACTCTGGATCCCATCCACAGTTTACCAAAGCAGAAAACAATACCATCCTCGGCACCAAGGGATGTCATGGTTCGAATTCACCCTTACCATGTCAAAGAGGAATTTTTAAACAAAGTTAGAGCATCAGGTCTTCCCAAGGAGTTCAGTCATCTACAAATTTTCCAGGACTTCTCGGCTCATACTATGAATCGTAGAAGCTAATTCCAGTCATTTACAAGCTAACTGCGAAATCGAAATATCCGATATAAATGGGGATTTCCAGTGAAGGTTCTTTTTCATCATGATGGAAAATCTTTTGTTATTTCTTCTCCGGGTGAGGGCATTGAGTTGATTTGATCATTAAAGGAACAGATTCGTTAACAAGAAAAGCAATCGGGACTCTTGATTGATTTATTGGCTATTTCTGTGCTTTTTCTCTGTTACTATCATGCTACCAATGCTGCGATGGCCTTACAATTTTACTTAGATAATGATTACTCTCTCTGGCTTGAGATGGAGGCTAGCAAGCTTTCTCCTTACTCAATTAACGATATTTTATGGCTGCCTTCTTCTCAACGCACGAGCATGGCTGATATGTTTTTATCAACCAAGACTTCCATCAAAGCTTGGAATACCCTTTACAAAAAACTTTGTCCTTCACCAAATTGGTTTGGGGCAATCACATTATCAGTTTTAAAATTAAAAATACCTGATTTGGATACAAATTATTGGTCCTCCCATTCTATTTATTATATTAACGATCTATTCTCATCCTCTAAACTTTTAAAATTTTCCCAAATTCAACAAAAATCTCACCTCAGTAACACTGATGCTCCTATATATGAACAGATGGTTGATCATATTATTGATCATTTTGAGATTTCCCACCGGGACCCACATTATAGGCAATTGGAATTACTAAATCTAGAAAAAACAATTATTTTCGATGCCGGCCAGAAACGTACCATCTGTCAGTGTTACACTGTTTTCGCGGGTGAATTGGGTGTAAAACAACCATACGTGCTCAAGTGGGAGAGTGATCTGGGTGTGGAGTATTTTGTATCAGAGTGGCATAGTTTAATATCGGGATTGAGGGGAAGCACCCTGAACATCACTCATTTGGAATCTCACTTGAAATTATTATATAGATGGTATTTTTCCCCTTTTAAATTACATTTCCCAATCTAAATTATGCTGGAGGGGGATGTGGCCAAATGGGTACTCTATTTTATATTATCTGGTCCTGTCCAAAAATCCAAACTTATTGGCAAAACATATTATATTTAATTATTTCCATTTCAGAATTCCCAATTAATGTGATCCCTAGTTTGTGCCTCCTTAAGTGTTTTCCAGATGACTTAGCATGTCAGAAACGCGTTATGCTGGGCCATCTCCTTATTTCGACCACCACAGCTATTCCCCGATTTTGGAAATTGGTTGCTATTCTATCTATCACCAATGTTCTTATTCATCTATTTGAAAGTAAAAGATGAAGGCTTGTTCTCCGCATACCATCAACCAGTGGTGTCCTCTTACGACACGACTGGTCTGAATGGGAAAAGGCACTGAGGAACAAATTTAATTGGTCTGATTATCCATCTGGTCGAATCTTATTTTTTAAATTTCTCATCTATTTTAAAAAAATTTTATTTCTTTTTCATTTAAATTTTATCTGTATAAATTATTGACATGAAAGCCCTTTTTTTTTCTTGTATATGCTTATCTAATTTTTCCTTTTGTTTTCTTTTTTGTTGTTGATGGTTGTTGAGCTGCATTGCAGACGCAATATTGTTCCTTTCCCCCATTCCCTTTCTCCTCCCTCTCCCTTCCTTGCCCCCCTCCCCTTTTGTTTTGTTTTTATTTTATCCCTGAGTTTATTATTATTCTATCAGTATTATAAGTTTGCTATTGGTCACTATGACATTAACTCTTTTAACGTAATAACTCCTAGTTCATTATCTGCCACTGTATTCTAGTTATGTATATATATTTCTGTTTGTGACCATAACCTGTTATATTATCTTACTTAGCTCATTACCATTTTCGTTTATTAATTAACATAATATATATTAAAACATTTTTTTAAAGAATTATGTAACCGTTTCTGTGCTGTATTCTTGACACGGGTGATATGTGGTTTTTGCTTGAAGTCAAAGTATGTATTCTACAACCAAGGTTTTCTCCTTTGCTGTCTCTTGCAATTGCAATTTGCATCTGTATATTAACATATATTAGTGTTTGACATTGATTGCATATATTCATGAGTGTGATTAAGTAGCCTAATTTATTGTCACGCAGTTTTACATGCATATAATAAAGCATGGCCGTAACCGTGCTTTTAAATGTATGTGACTAATCAGTCTGCTCTGCCTTGCCATAAAATAAGACTGTGAATATTGTAAAGGCAAGCATACTAACACAAATATTAGTGCTAAGTTTATTATGAACTGTTATAAACAGTACATTATTAGACTATGGTTTAAATGCCTAAGTATAGTGGCAAAACATTCAGGCTCCAAAACCTCATGGGGTTGATGCTTGACACCTATTTACATTCCGCTCTCTTTGTTCCCAGTGAGGGAGGAGATCTCTGCCTGCATGGCACACATCTCTTTTGAATTGGGATCGGTGAAGTATCTTTTAATATGCATATATTTCGCCTCTTGAAAGAGCTTTGATAATGTGCGAATGGGAATCCTCACAAGCTGAAAAGTCCTTTCCTGTAGTCGATAAAATAATTTTGGCCACCTCCAATGTTGGTGCCCTGTTTTCTATCTTATAGCATCAATAATAACGTTATTAAAATATTAATGATACTAGAGTAAACATAGAGAAGCTGTAGAGTTACTTATTTTTGTTTCAAATAAAACATTTTGAAGTTCAACATGGTTAAGATTCTGTGTTTATGTTCTATTTATCCAAAACACCAAAGTCAGAACTGTAGATAAGACATGCGGTTATTCTTTACCCTTGAGTTAAACTGTGTATAAGCTGCGGTCTGCTAGCCTCTTCTGATTTTATGGATCAATGTCAAATAGTAAAAGGATTCTTGACCCAAATCAGAACTTGACCACAACTGTCACTTTTGCTCAATTTTGTATAAAAAGACTTGTGTGGTATAAATAAATCCTTTCACGTCTCTTTGTAACTATGATAGTTCAAGCATGTATCCATTGATCTTGTGTCAACATAACAATTAATCTTGTGTTAATGTAATTACTGTTATTTTTTTCATTAGGGTTGGCCTGCTGGTTGGTTGTGGAAGAACATTTGCCAAATAGAAAGGTTGTTGTAAAATGAATTCATTCTATGTGTGAATCTTCATTATGTTCTAGTGAATGGCATGGCATATGTAAAAGAATCTAACTGACAGTGAATATTTACCAAGATTAATTGACCTATTTATAGCACAGAGGGGATCAAGAATGTGTCCAATGATTTATAGATCACAGAGGTGTAGTGATAGGGGGGCAGCAGGAGCAGTCTCTTGTGCCCAACAGTCGACCCCCCTATCACTACGCTTGTGCCAAGCGTCGGTCTCTGATGATGATGTGCTGGCCATGGGGACTGATGGATGTGCACACTATGAAAAGCTTATATGTATAGCTCCATGAAGTAAATCAGAGTGTTGCCAAGAGTTACCACAGCAAAGATCACATTCTTCACCCAGCCCCTGCTAGAAGAGGCATGTGGTCTGCACCCACTGGTAGTGCAGACCAGATACACAGCCCACTGGACAACCAGGAATCGATCAGCTTTCCCCCTTCCCTGCCCCAGGTAAGCAAGGGGTGACACTATTATATTATTTTATAATTATATATAATTTTATGATGTAGCCCTTATTCACCCAACACTACTTGCCCTACCCCCTACACTAGTGCCCTTATTTCACCCTTACATAAACTACAGCCCCTATTCACCCACAAACACAAACTGCATATCATGTGCCCCCTTCCCCCCTCCCCCTTCCACACACACACACACACACACACACACACACACACACACACAAACAAAACTCTACTTTTGCTTGGCACTGGGTGATGTAGGTTGATCTTGCCCCAATAACATCATTTTCAAGAATAATGCCTGCAGGAAGTTAATATGGAAGACAACCAGTCCTATTACTTTCTGGTTTTGTTAGCTAAACTCAAAATGCATGCAATTGCCCAGAGCATCTGCCTTGTAAAGGCTACTCATTGAGCTGCAGTGGGAAGTCTGTGACTTAACAACCACAGAAAGTCTGGGCAGGGTTATAAAGAGAGAGCTTGTAAAGGCTGCAGGCAAGAGATCTGCAGCTTGTCCAAGCTGTTTAGATGCACCCTCAATTTAAAAAAAAAAAAAATGCATGATTAAATGCATGCATGTTTTCATTGGAACGTTTCTACTAAACAATGATTATTGGATTTTTTTTAATTTTATTTTTATCATTTGGGCAGTGGAGTGTCCCATTTGAATCTATTTACACAACCTGATAGTATATATTTTTTTGAATAGTGAATTATTTACAACAATATGGACATTAAATTGCTGGCTCAGGTGTCCAGAGAGTTAAAAATAATGAATCTACGGATTGTGCCAGCAGAAATTCATTAGCAAATTTATTGATCAGCAGTAAAAAAAATAAATAGCATATGAATTCCGTGGCCACATTCTATCTGTGTCATTACAGAACCTACATCACATCGAAAGCAATTACTCTACAGAGAAGCAATTAATTTACATTTATGGCTAATGTTATATTTTGCATTAACTGGAGACTTAATACTAATACTGTCATCACAATTTATAATCTTGTAGCAAAGTTCCAACTAGTAGATTGTTTGATAATATTGTCTATATGAACTGCAAATGTAGCCACAAAGAGAAGGGTATTTAAAGGAAGAAAACATTACTCAAAAATATACGAAGAACATTAAAAACTAGATTCAATTATGCCAACTTATCTTGAATCACAGACACTCACCCATACCGACTCATTAACAGACATGACTTTTCAGTCAATATTTAGTACAAGTGCCACCGAGAAAGATTATTCAAAAATGCAAAACATTCAGGACAGGTGTCAATCTACCAGGAGGGCATATCCCAGCAAATTCACCCCAAGGTCAGACCGTGCAATGTTGAGAGAAATCGCAAAAAACCTAAGACTTCCATCTCAGATTCTACAGGCCTCAGTTAGCATGTTAAATGGTAAAGTGTATGACCATGGTAGTGGATAA